AAGTGGCTTCCCCTCAGCGCCAGGGTCGAGCTGTTCAACGTCCTCATCCAGGTCGAGCAAGCGGGGGCCTGGCCGTGGCAGCTCATGGTCACGCTGGTCAGTCTGCTGCGGAAAGACGCGGGAGGCGACCGCGCCATCGGGTTGCTGTCAGAGGTGATGAAGATCTGGTCCAAGATCAGGAGCCAGTACACTAACGAGTGGGCGTCGCACATGGCAGGGAAGTGGGACGCCGCGATCGCGGGCAACAGCGCCCTGAAGGAGGCCCTCGTCCGCTCCTTCGCCGACGAGGTGCTGGAGTGGGCACCCATGAAGGTATTCACGGTGGCGGCGTTGTGGGACCTAACGGAGTTCTACGACACTTTGGAGCCCCTCCTCATCCTGGAGGAGGGGCTCCGCCTCGGCCTCCCAGCTCGCACTTTGCACCTGGAGATGCTGAGCCATCTGAGCACGAGGCTGGTGCGCGAGCGGACGGCGTACGCGGAGCCGATCTCGCCCGACAGGTCGAGCTGCGCGGGCGCCAGGCGGGGCATCGACTTCGGCAGAGTGGCGCTCTACGCCACGCTGGAGCAGGCCCGCGCGAAGTACCAGCAGGTATACGTCCGCTCGTGGGTGGACGACGTCACCACCAGGATGGAGGGGCCCAGGCGCGAAGTGATCAAGCAGCCCACGGGCGCCGGAGTGGACTTCGCCGCGGGGGCCAGGAAGGCCAAGCTCACCCTTTCGAGCAAGTCCACCCTGATCGGCAACGACATGGACGTGGTTAAGGAGGTTGCGCTCAGGCTGAGGAGCCGCAACATCGTGGTCAAGGTGAAGGGCCAGGCGCCAGACCTAGGCATAGACAGGGGCCACAGCATCGGAGGAGGCAAGGGGAAGCACGCGAAGCGAGCAGCCCATGCCGACCGACAGGTGGCCAAGGCGTTGAAGATGGCGAGAAGTGGACGAAGGGCCAGAGGCGGCGCGAGGCAGGTCGTCCAGCGAGGAGCGCTGCCCCGAGCAGCCTACGCATGCAAGGTTTTCGGCGTGGCTCCCAGCACAGTTACCAAGTGGAGGAGGAGGCTGGCCTCGGTGGTAGCCCCACGCTTGCGAAGCCGCTGCCTCACGACGCTGCTGCAGTTGGAGACCGGCGTAGGCGACCCAGCGTTCGGCACGGTCTTCGCGCTGCTGGACTCGTGGATGCACATCGTCAGCGACCCGCAGAGGAGGAAGAAGGTGTGCATCGTATGGCCTCGTATCGTCTCGGCCATGCTGAAGAAGATGCCGCAGCACAGGTGACGAGGAGTAACGGGCATCACGCGCGCCATGGTGGTCACGCTGTTAGACCTGGAGTGGCAGCCCCTGGGACCATGGCACTGGGTCTCGAAGGAGGGCGAGGTCTTCGGCGGCGACGACGAGCACGCGCTGGACGACGACGTGGACCTCAGCGACCTGAAGGCGGCGATCAAGAGCACGATCGAGGTGAAGCAGTTGGAGAGGGCCGCGCAGCATTTTGCAGGCGGCGGCCTGGAAGGAGGAGCTGACCTCTGCTCTGCGAAGAGGAAGATCGGCGAGCTTCGCAGGAAGGGCCAGTACGACAAAGTGGGCGCTTACCTTGCGATCATGACTGGAGGTGTGTGGCCGAGGCAGCGCGTGGCGGACCTCGGCATCGAGATCGAGGACGTCATGTGCCCCAGGTGCGGTGAGGAGCCTGAGACGTGGAAGCACCGCATGTGGGAGTGCAGGTGCAACGAGACCATCGAGGACATCGAGAAGTCGCAGCACCTCGTGGCGAGGGCGTCCACGGAAGTAGAGAACCAACCGTGCCTGTGGCTGCGGGGCTTGCTGCCAGCGGGCTGGACGTCGGTCAACGGCCCGCCCGAGCCTGGTGCGGAGCTGATCGAGTGCTTCGGTGACCTGCAGGTCCTGTCCAGCAGCGCGGAAAGCATGACGGACGGTTGGCTCATCGCGGCTGGTGATGCGTCAGGCGGAGAGTACTCGCAGGACCCAAGGCTGAGGAGGATATCTTGGGGCTGGGTGGTCTTCGACAGCGTGGACCCAACCGTGGCGAAGGTGGTCGCGGGCAGCCGAGGCGCTCTCGCTGGTTGGAGGCAGAGCGTCAACCGCGGAGAGCTGATGGCGCTGAAGGACGTGATCATCGCAGCTGGCGGGCACTACGGCAAAATCAGGTGCACCGCCGACTCGTCATACGTGGTCAGGGGCATGGACAAGCTTCGAGGAGGAAGGATGCCCAAGACGCACGTCGACCTTTGGAAGGAGGTCAAGCAGGGCATCATCGGCAAGCAGGTCGAGATAATCAAGGTGGAGAGCCACATGTCGGCCCAGGAGGCGCTGGACGCAGAGGCCAACCCGATCGACTGGCTCGGGAACGTCCTGGCGGACAACTTCGTGGACGGCATCGCGGAGTTGGTGCAGGTGCCGCGCGCACAGGCGAGGTCGGTGGGTTTCGCGGAGGGCGTCGCGGAGCTCATAAGGGAGCGCGCTTACCTGACGCTCATGGCTTCCATAGAGGCGGAGCCGTCGCAGGTCCCGAGCTTGAAGATCAGGCAGGAGGCCCACGTCAAGGCGCGCAGGCGTGCCGTGCTGCTGGAGAACACCAAGCACAACGTCTCCAACGACGTGGGCGACAAGCACTACAGGTGCCTGAGGTGCGGGTCCCGCGCACTGATGTCCTCAGCGGACGCGTGGCTGGCTGGCGAGTGCATCGCCGTGCAGAAGGCGGGCGCTGTCCATGGCTCGCTGAGGAGCAGGCCGAGGATCGCGAATCAGGAGGTCCACGAGAGCCACGTTGTGCTGCACGTGGAGGAGCTCGGCCTGCACTACTGCAAGAAGTGTGGCTGCATCGCGAGAGAGAGAGCATGCGGAAGCTCGTGCAGGTCTGCGAGGAGACCCCTGGCCAGATGGGGAAGCAGAACCTCTCGAGGATCGCGAAGGGCCTGCAGCGAGGCACCAGCGCGATAGCGCTGGCATTCAACAAGAGGAAGAGCGGAGGGATCTGAGCACGCGCCGTTTGCGCGTGGCTCGGCCCTTTGCACTGCCCGCAGACTGCGGGAGAGGCGGCGCAGCCCCCTCGGCACAAAAAGTCGGCGTCGTCATCGTCCTGCCCCTGGCGTCGCCGCAACCGGGGCTGGGACCGAAAGCGCTGCTGCGTCAAGTCCGGCTGCGGCGGAAAGAGAGGTGGGGAGGGAGGGAACATCAGCAGTCACATCAGTTCGTATGGCCCAAAGCAAAATAAAGCGCTGGGACAGAAGAACTTTCGCCTCGCGCGGCCTAGAATAGTGCATCTGTGCACCCTAGCAGCCGCGTGCACCACAGCACCACGTCACCACCTGTGTACACCACAGTGCATCCGTACGCCGCAGCAGCTGTGTGCGCAATAGCGCCTGGGTACACCACAGCGTACACCAAATCGCTTTTGTGCGAAACGGCGCCTGCGCACATCACCGCAGCCGTGTGCACCTCAGCGTCAAGATACAACACAATGCCTGCGTGCACAAGAGCGCTTATGTACACCACAGTGCCTGCGCACCACCTCGCCTGCATGCACCATTAGCTGCTGCAGGAGCGACACCAGCTTACCCCAGAGCAACTCAATGCCTGTGTGCACCACCTGTGCATCCTTCGGCAGCTTCCAGGCCAAGTCGGCAGTCGTCCTCGTCGTCGTCGTCCTCCTCCTCACCTCCTCCCATCCTCCTCCTCCTCCACCTCCTCCTCCTCCTCCTCACTTCTCCTCCTCCACGTTCCCCCTCTTCTTCCTCCTCCTTCTCCTCCTCCTCATCTTGCTCTTTCTCCTCCTCCTCCTCCTCCTCCTCCTCCTCCTTCTCCTCCTCCTCCCTCCTCCTCCTCCTCCTCCTCCTCCTCCTCCTCCCCCCTCCTCCTCGCATTTTAATGGATGGCTCTCGGGAATCCCGTCAGGATCCGTATGAATTGCATGGGGGTCCCAACAGAGTCCTATACAAGCTTCATAGATCCACGCCTAAGACCAGCTTCAAGGCGTTACCATCTGGGGGGCTAGCACGAACGATGCCCGGTGCTCGCAAAGAAAAAAACAATATTTGCTCGCTCAGAGGCCCGACGAGGCACCCTATGGGCCGAAATTATCAGACAAAAAAAAAAAAACGCCCCGAGGACGCGATGCTGTCAGAAGAGCCAAAGAGCGACTATTGTAGGGCAGCGAACTCTATGCACCGACGCGTTTTCCGGCCTGCACTGCAATTGGCATAGGAAAGCGGATCCTGGTGTATACGGGATCCTGGTGTACACATGTTTCGGTGCTTCTCCAGGAAGCGGAAACGCATGTATGCACCACACCACCCCGGCGTCGCCCCCGACCCTTGAAAAGTCCGGGGATTGAAAAACAGCCGGCCACCGGTACTGTATATGTTCCTGTTTCAGATCTGGGTGATGCGTCTGATCCACGGCGGGCGAGTGGGGGGGGCCCGTCGAGCTCGACAGGTCGGGGCAGCCACCGGGCAGCGCCGCGGCTGCACCCCCATCGGAGGATGCGGGAGGAGTAGGAGGACGTGCTGAGATGTGTTCTCATTCTCGCAGAAGAACAAAAACAGCATACACAACAAAATGTCGCAGCTCCGCGCGGACTTCTTGGACTGGCGCTGGGCCCCCCCTGGCGGCGCCTCTGGCGCCGCCCCTGGCGCGCTCCTTGCGCCAGTGAGAGGGGTCCAGCGCCGATCCAAGGAATCCGCCATGCGGACTTCCGATAGTGTGTGTATGCAAAGAGATTGCCGAACAGGGAGAAGAGGGCGCTGAGAGAGGGGAGGAGAGAGGAGGCGGAAGGAGGAGGGCTCGCAAGGAGGATGGGGATGGAGACAAGGAAAACGAGAAGGATCAGGGCGGAGGAGGTGGAGGAGCGATTAAAAGGGGAAGGATGAGAAGGGGCAGGGCGAACTAGGAGAGGGAGGAGGAGACATGGGGAGAAACGAGAGATGATGAGGACAAGTAATTGCAAGGCGGAAGGCGGTGACGGGAGGATAACCAGTGCCATATTTTCAGCGCAAAGCGTTATGTCTCCTCGGTGTCTGTGCTGGTCTGGTGGTCCGAGAGCGGTACGCCAGACGCTGCAGCAAGCAGAACTGTCACACTACCGCTCTCCTCCCTTCTCGTCCCGGACCTGCTCCTCCTCCTCCTCCTCCTGGTCCTCTTCCTAGATTTCCTCCCTCCTCCTCCTCCTCCTCCTCCTCCTCCTCCTCCTCCTCCTCCAGCTCCTCTTCCTCCTCCTCTTCCCCCTCCTTGTCATCCTCCTCGTCCTGGGCCTCGCCCTCGACCGCGTCCTCGACCTTCTCCTCGTCCTCCTCCTCCTCCTCCTCCTCCTCCTCCTCCTCCTCCTCCTCCGCCTCCTGCCTCCGCCCTCTTCCGCCTCCTGCTCCGCGCTGCTGTGTGCTGGGCGCTCCTGTGCGCTGGGCGTGCTCCTCCCTCCCGCCCTCTCGACTCGGGCCTGGGCCTCCCTTCGCCGAGTCGAGCGGCGGCCGGAGCAAGACCACACCCGCCTTGGCCCTCGGGGCCTGGGGCCTTCGGAGCGAGATGGCGCGCAGACTGCTGCGGTGCCGCGTCCGACTGGCCTCCGCCTGCCGATCCCTGTGGCACTCCTTGCTTTTTGGAGTCCCGAAACGGTGCGGTGACGGACCGTGCGGTGACCTCGGAATCCCCCAAGACCTCAACGCACGGTCCGTTCACGCACGGTTTTGGGACCTCGGATGCCCCAGTCGCCCGAGAGGTCCAAAACCGTGCGGTGACCCAGAACACCAACCGACTCACTGCACGGTGTGGTCACCACCCCGTTTAGGGACCCCCGAGTGTTGAAGGCGGCCGGGGGCTCTGAGCTGGAGAAGCCCCGAGGAAGTCTGTCAGCAGAGGGCGGGGGCGAGGGCAAATCCTGGCAAGATCATGCCCATGCCCCTCATAGGGGTCGAAGCTGACCGGTTCCTCGAACCGCGTCCAGCCGCGGCGACGAGGGGCCCTCCTGGTCTCCCCGCTCCGAGGGCTGGAGCCGATGCTGGGCCACCTCGGCCCCTCGGCCGGCTCCAGCCTCCCTCCTCTGCTGCTGGTGCTTCCTCTGAGGGAGAGGGCGAGTGGAGGCAGCGGCAGCTCCAAATCGGTGCCCGGACCAGACCCCGCCCGGGGTCCACGCGCAAAAGTGCTTCGAGCCGCATCCAGCCGTGGCGCCCGACCCCCCCCCCGCAGGTAGGCCAGCTGCCGTGGTCTCCACCAGCACTCCTGTGAGCGGGCGCCCGAAACATGAGGGGAACAAGCAATGACGTAAACATGAAAACTCGGAGGTCCTCGCGGACTTCTCGGATCGGCGCTGGGGCCCCCTGGCGGCGCCTCCGGCGCCGCCCCTGGCACGCTCCGCGCGCCAAGGAGGGAGTCCAACGCCGATCCGAGAAATCCGCACGGTCCTCCGAGTTGTTAAGTCCATGTCATTGCCTGCTTCCCTGAGTGTGCACCTCTCGGCTGCCCCGGTACACGGCGTGCAACATGCAGCGTGCTGAAGCGGAGATCAACACGCAGACTGGAGCCGCAGGCCAGACGCGATTGCGTTCGCCAGCACGTGGACCAGCACGTGCCCGGCCAGCACGCAGCGTGTTGGCACGGACGTGCTGAGCACGGCACGTGTTGCGTTTCAACACGGGCGTGTCAGGGCAGCTGAGATGCAGCGAATACCGCCCGATCTGGAAGACGCGGAGCGTCGAGCTCGCATGTACACGGGGCCCGACGCGCATCCACGCGCCCAAACTCGTGTTGGCGCTTCCGTGTTGGTCTTCTGCTGCTGCTGCTGCTTTCCCCCCCCCGGGCCTCCCCCAGCCTCCGCCCCCACGCTGAAAGTAGGTGGCGACATCCGAACACTACCCCCGCCAACCGTCGAATTCTCTAAATCGATGGGACGCAGGGGCAGTGCTCGGAGTTCTCTACGTGCTCGACGAATCACGAACCCTAACCACCGCCCATCGAGCTGCCGGAATCGTTGATCGGCGAATGTAGGGTTCGGATCCCGGGGATCTACTGACCCGGGGCAATCCAGACCCAGGTCAGTCAGGCCTTGCAAGGTCCCGCAAGATCCTGTAGTATCCTGCTGGTCAGTGCGCCCCTGGCTCTGCAGGATCCTGCAAGATCCCGCGCTCTGACTGACCCCCGTTTGCATAGACCCCCGTCTCTTAAGCCCCGCCTCCCCCCCACCCGGTCCCGCGCCGAGAGGTGCCCAGAGGCCTTCGCCTCGGGCGGCGCGGCGGCCGCTGCTCCCTACACGAGCAGGCCGCGGTGCTCCACGGCAGCGACTCTGCCGCCCGAGCAGCTGCAGTGCACCGTGACGAGGTCGCTCACGCCGAGGTGGGGCTTCTTCTGGCTCAGGCCGTAGACGCACGAGAGCACCTAGCACGAAGGGTGCGGGGAGGGCGAGTTGAGACAACGGTGGCTGGCCTCTGGGGGGGCCCCTCGCCCCTCGTCGCCACGGCTGGGCGCAACTCGGAAAACCGGTGCGTTTGAACGGGGGGGAGTCCGGAGACCGATTTTGAACCGCCGTTGTCTCACCTCACCCTGCTCCGAACGGGAGCACGACAGCAGAATCACCGTCGTCATTGAGTCAATGAGCAAGGGAGGTCCCTCGTGGTTCGGCATCCTGCCTGTTGCACTTCCAAGCTCCATATCGGGGAGGCTTCGTGGGCCTCCTCGCCCCTACAAACGATGCTGGTGTTGCTTTTCGCTCCTACGAAGCACCGTCGAGGTGAAGGTGTTGCAATTGTTGCTGAGCGGATTGTAGTCTGTCCCGGCCCAGTTGGACCAACACTTGTGCCCACAGGCGTGCCGGAAAGCTGCCTCTCCATCGAACGCGGCGCTGCCGTAGACGAACAGGGCCTTCTTCGTGAGGTCGGCGTTGCCGATGACTGCCTGGCGCTTGTTCAGTGGCATGGCCGCGTGGCCGACGCCGCAGCACTGGGAGGAGCAGGAAGCGCCCCCGTAACCTAGCTCCGTGCACTGTGCTGTCTTCCCCTCCCACCAACTCTCGTTCAGCGGGGCGAAGTGCCGCATCCCGGCGATGGTCTCGTCGAGGAAGCCCTGGTCCGCCACGGAAAACCCGCTCCGATCGCACACGAGCACCTCTGTGTGGTACAACACCTCGGCGCCCTCGAGGGGGTAACGCTGCAAGAATACGAAGCCGCTGGAGCCAGGCTCCTGAACGACATCGAGGACAGGAGCACCTCGTGACTCAAGCTCTGGCAGCAATTTCGGAATGAGCCCGTTCAGGCCGGGCACAACCAACTGCGCGCCTGCAAGGCTCAAGCAGCCAGCAGCCGCGACCGCGAAGTCTAGAGCGGCAAGCGGCATCGCTTGAGGGGGAACGGGCGGATATTTCCGAAACGCTCAGCGCTCTGCCTGTCTAGTAGGATGATCACGGCGGCAATGTCCATCACGGCGACGATTATCCGAACGGTGGTGACCATCTGTGAGCGTACTTGCGTACATACAGACAAACAATCCTACATAACCCCATGCCCCCGATAATAAACCCAAAGGGATAATAAAGTTCGGGGTTTTCGGGGGGATAATAAAAGTTGCCCGCCAGAGCCATCATAAAGAGATATCAAGCTGCCAGAGAGAGAAGGACATCCAAAGAACATGCATATATAAAAGGAAAAGGAGAAGAGCAGGGGGAGCAGGAGGAGGAGAGAGGAGCGGAGAAGGAAGAAGCGAGAATCCAAAGTTCAAAACTTAGTAGATTTAATTCGTAAGCGCTTAATGGAAATTAAGGTTTCCATCTGCTCGCTCTGCCTAGTTCCCCCAGGGTAATCAACCACAGCGATAAACAAGTTCAGGGGGCAGGGAGACAAGAAGAAAAAGAAATAGAAAGAGAGAGAGAGAGATAAAGAAAGAAGAAAAGAAAGAGCAGAAGGATGAGAAGGAGGAAGAGCAGGGGAAGCAGAGGAAAAGGCAGAAGCAAAAATCCAAAGTTCAAAACTTATTATATTTAATATGTAAACGCTTAATGAAAATTAAAGTTTTCATCTGCTCGTGTAGGGTAGCTCATGTGAAGAAAAAGAAATAGAAAGAGAGAGATACAGAAAGAAGAAAATAAAGATGAGAATGATGAGAAGGAGGAAGAGCACGAGAAGCATGAGAAGGAAGTAACCTCGATGGCGAACTTTCCCAGTGATAATGAAGTTCGGCCTCCGCGCCCCCGCGCCCCCGACCAAACTCTTATTGGTTGACGATAAAAAAACTCTAACGACTTAAGGGGGGTACATTATTATCGTGGGCATGGTGTTACATACATGCATGCATGCATGCATGCTTACATACAAGTGCATGTAATAGAACCATTGCGCGCTTCTCTCACGCGCTCACGTTAGATCTACCATGGGCGAAACATATAGCGTGTGAAGGGGCCGTGTCCGGATGATCGGGTCCTTGACTTGGAAACGTACTCCTTGGTATCTGAATGTGGCAGCAAGACCGATGGAAAAGAGGTTCTCAGATTTAGAACCACAATGAGAGCAGTCACATATCTCTGCACTTCCCGCCCGTGCACACAGCTTCACTAGCTACACTACATCACAGTGCAATGCCAGACCTATATGAGGCACCCAAAACACACGATACAAAATGGATTTCCACACTCGTCAAACTTTCTAATAGGCTTGACTCCCTTGAACCAGTCGGACGGATGGGAATAACAATCTTTCAATCAGGCACGACGGCCCTATGCAGGCAAGAGAAAACAGAAAGAGAAAGAGAGAGAGAGAGAGACAGAGAGAGAGAGGAAAAAAAACGAGAGAAAGAGAGAGAGAGAGAGAGAGAAAAAAAAAAAACACGAAGCGACAACACGAGGAGACAAAGGCATAGCACTTGACCTGACCTGGGGTCTGGACACGGAAAGCCCTTCGTCGAGCGGGGTCTTCCGTCAGGTCTCATATTCGGCTGGCTCGGGAACAAAGAACAGTCGGCCTTAGGCCATAACTTAAGGGAGGGCTGCATTTGACTTCCCTAAGTTATCCTTCGCCAGGGCGTCCACTAATATCTCAGGGTGGGAACCCAGAATATCACCCCCTTGGCCTTGGCTAAACACTCATAGATGATGTCGAGCTCCAGAGCGGTGCGCGTGGCCATGGACGAAGCGTTCCCCTTCTTCATCATCGTGTCATACACCGCCATGGCATCCACCGCGTGTAGTTGAATTTTTCACCCACTGCCAAAATGGCATTGGGTGCGAATCGCCGTGATGAAGGGCCCCGGCGCTCCCATGCGTACTCAGCATCCGCAGCGGCCGCCGAGAGAAAGAGGGTTCCCCCGGCAACGATCGAAGCCATCTTGCTTCTCAGCATACAACTCCTCCACCCAAAAGGTAGACACAATCAATACCGCATACTCAGATAATCGGCGGCGAGAATTATCAAAGCTCCTTGAGCCGGATCTTCTGGCAACCCGTTCCAGGCAACCATCGTGGCACTGGCCCCAACTCCTCCAGCGCCCGACCAGGTCACGAAAACCATGCTTCCTGGGTCGAGCGCCCACGCCGTGAACCCCTGGGAGGCCGTAGCTCGAAGGTGTCTCACTGACTTGTTGGCGCGCGTCACGTCCCACAAAGTGGGAGCGACCCACCTGAAGGCCAATGCGCTCGCAACCTCAGAGCCCGAAGCCCTTCTTGGGAAACGGGAATATTCTTATTAGCCATCCGCCCAGACTCCACTTTCACAAGCGAAACCTCCTCAATGACACACGTATCCATGTCGACAACAGCCTTGACATCTGAGAAGGTCAGTCGCCGTCCCGCGTGGTCCACTGAGCTCGAATGGCAGCCTCGATATTTTCCAACCTTAAACCAACTCTCGAACTTCTCCTGGAGCCAGGCCCTCTCGGAGGCAATGAAAAATCTTCAGCCTCCAGAAGAAACGGATGTCTAATTTCCGTGTTCCGGCCGCAGCGCACACGTCAACGCGGTCCCAAAAGAGATGTCACAAAACCCAACTCACATTTGCTTTGACCACCGTCATACGCAACGCGAAAGAAGCATCTTGCCGTCGCTCGGACGTCCATTTCCCGTGCAGTTTTCGGTATCGTGCGTGTTTTTGTTGCTCGATGGTCCAGGATGGACCTCGATGGTTCTCGCCGAGAAAAAATGCACACGTCCGAGCGATGCCAAGGCATCGTCAAGGCCGTCCACGTTAACAGATAGCTCGATCAAACGCAGGGGAAGAACCGATGGGCCCACCCAGAGGCTCCACAAACAACCCACCTCCCGCCCGAGAGATGCTATCCGACTAGCAGAAGGCATTCCTAACGCCGGCGACGTCTGCTCTCATCCTCAGATCCACGGCAATCTGCAGGAACATCGTGATAAAGCCTGTCTGGGGAGCGGGAAGGCAGACCTCGAGCGCTCCAGCGCCAATGTCCAGACCTGGTACCCGTGCAGACACCGTCGAGACCTGGCAGTAGGGGAAGCGGAGGTGCCCTCCGCCGGCTACCACCGACGCACCATCCGAGAGGTGATGATCCGCTCGGGAGCGACTCTCCGCACGGCTTCCGGCTCCTTCTGGGCAAGGATCCTCGCCGCCTCGAAACCAGACATGGACTCCCACTCCTCAAGGGCAGACGCGTCAGACTTCGCCCGCTCCGCTGGAAAGTGGCGGCCCTTCGTAACCTCGGATCTCCGACCCGCGGCAAAGCATCCAGGCGGCGGGGGCGGGGGAAGAGCTCCGGGCGACTCGCCGAAATCTTCCTCAAAGCACCACTGGGCCCTGACTCCTCCTTCGGGGTCCGCTCTCGCCCAGCCATGCGTTCAGTCCCGTCGAGCTGCCGCTGCCGGCTCCTCGATACCCTCCTCCTTGCTCCAGATAGGGGCTAACCTGGTCCTCGGCGCTGGGGGCCGACTGGGCCCATGCCGCTGCTATATCTCGGCAACCTGTCGCAATGCTCGCCCCGCCTCCTCTCGGGCCTCAATCGATCTGTCGCCGCCTGGCGCAGCGGGGTCCTCAGCCACTCCGGGGAGCGTGAGAGCGAGCACTGAGAGAGGGTGGCGGAAGCGCAGGAACGAAGGAGGGAGGCAGCTTCAGACCAGGAGGGGGCTCCATCACCACTCCTATCATGTGTCACTTGGACTCAGCCTCGCCGTCTATCACCTGCTCCCCAGTGACAGGGCTCAGGCTCAGCCCTGCCCGGACTCTGGATGGACAAGGGAACGTCGCGTGCCTGCCTCGACCCACGCTGGACAGGCACGCTGGCCGAGGCTCTAGGGGAGGTCGGCGAAGTGGGAGTAAAGAGAAGAGGAGCCACTCCGCCGAATCCTCGGTCACGAATCTCTCCCGGAGTCTCGGTTCGCGCGGGGGCGGAAGGAAACAGATCCGACGGGCTCGGGGGAGGAGGCGGAACCTCCTCCGCTATGGGCGGTGAACGCGTGCGCGCCAGACTCGGGGCCCTCGGGATCCCTGGCCCCCTCTGGTGTTCGTTCACATCCTCTGGGCCCAGCAGGGCCTCGCTTGGTCCTGGACTCGGAAGAGGCTCGGCTCCTGCAGCGCCCGCGGGAAGAAGCTGATGCCACGCCTCTGCTGCGGGGTCTCCCGCTCTCTGAACATGCGCCGCAACCGCTTGCTTGGTCCTGATCTGGCGTTGCAGCTCCTGCCACGCGGGATCCTCGCCCAACCTCGCTCCGAGCTCCTTGCCCGAGCTGGCGTGGCGCACGCGAGCTCACCGGCTGGCTGGTGCGTCGGCTGCCCGCCGGTCCGGTGGGTAGCGGTGGTATTGCGTGGATTTTTACGGGGATTAGTGTGCGAGCCTCGCCCAGACGGGCCCGACCTGCGCGCGTGCCACCCACTAATGCGAGCAACGCGGCTTCGCTGCTGAAAGTCGGCCCAGAGGTTCTCTCCCATCCTGTCGTTCGCCGCTCAGTTCCACGAGAGCGCGCGACCTACTGGGCCCGACAAAGCACCAAACCCACCTCCGAACCGCGCCCGCAAAACCTCCAGGCACCGTAAGTCAACCAACAAAATGAACAAGGCTGCGCCCCTCCAGGCACAGATCGTTCCTGAATACCAAACATCCCATGGAAAATGGGAGAGGAAAAACCATGATAATTGGGAAATTACGGAAACAACACATAAACAAAATTATCCCGGCAAAGCAACCTAACAGCCATGTGTAGGAGCATCTCTGGGTCGAACAGCATCTCGACGAAAAGGCAGCGACAAAAAAGGTGACGTCGACGACGGCGGTGGCGGCGGCGACGGCGGCGGCGGCGGCGCCCCCCCCGCCGCCATCCGCAGAGGTGGCTCGTTCGTGTTCTTCGTTGCCCGCCATACCCGGGCCTCATTTTTTGTTTGTTGATAGCAGTGTCTCGTTTCCAGATATGCTTCCAGCATGTGTAGAAGCATATATGGGAGCATTCCCCTTGAGATTCAGATGAGAATCCAGTTGTCGAATCGAAATAGGAAAACCAAGACGTG